AATTGGAAGGAACTCTATGTTCATCAGTAATGGAAAAGATCAAATTCCAGTCCATGTGCACTATGGAATCCTGTGCAGCCTCTTAAAAAATGAACTTGACCTGTCTGTACTGCCATGGGAAGAATTTGACATATTGTTAAATTCTTTAAGTTGAAAAATCAATCTCTCACCCATTCAAGAAATATTTATTAAATGTCCACCCTATGCTGAGAACTATCCTTGCTGTTGGGGCTACATTTATAAACACCTCAAGATCAGTTTCCTTTTCCTGCAGAAGAAAGCCAGAATTTAAGCAAACCCATAAGACAATTCCAGGTGGCAAGAAATTACAAGAAGAAAAATTAAAGACAGAGAGTGGCACGCGGTAGAGAATGGATTGGGAGCTCAGGCAATCAGGGAGGTGTCTCCTGGAGGTGGCACTGGAGCTCAGACCTGTGTGGTGAGAGGAACCAGCCCAGGGACGCTCTAGGGAAGGAGGGTTTTGGCAGCAGAAACTGCAGGAGCCACGGGTCTGAAGATAGATGTGCGGGAGTGTGGCATGCTCCAGGAAGAGAAGGAAGACCAGTGTGGCCAGGACACTGCCTCACAGGTTCTGTAGGCCTGAAAAGGAGCTGGGGTTCTAGTATATGCACCAAGAAAAGAGAGTTGGAAGCCCTTGAAAAGAAATTGCTCTGCTGGTATAGGCATTATATATGTGATAGGATCCTGTTTATTACTTTATTTTTATTTTATTTTAATGTTATTTTTTGAGACAGGATCATGCTCTGTTGCCCAGGCTGGAGTGCAGTGGCACAATCATGGCTCACTGCAGCCTTGACCTCCCCAGGTTTAGGTGATCCTTCCACCTCAGCCTCCTGAGTAGCTGGGTCCATAGGCACGTGCCACCACACCCGACTAGTTTTGTAATTTTTGTAGAGACAGAGCCTCACTCTGTTGCTCAGGCTGGTCTCAAACTCCTGGGCTCAAGCAGTCCACCCACCTTGGCCTCCCAAAGTCCTGAGATTACAAGTATGAGTCACCGTGCCCAGCCTGTTACTTTAAAGATAAACTTTATAATCACATGGTGAAAGAACTGGCAGTCTGCGTGTTGAAGTGTTAATAGTAGTTAAGAGTATTTACCTCTGAGCGGGCAGTGTGAATAGAGATTCTCTTTTACTCTATACCTCAGTGAGGCTGAATGTTTTATGGCAAAATATGTTTATTATTGAGTAATTAACATAGCATACTCATTATGGTTTCACTCAGCCCTCAAGAAGTATGTCATATTTTATACACAGTAAGGCACAGTACAGTGGAAATTGTACCATGATACCTTTTCACTGACTTTTGGATTTGAATCCCATACTGTCTTCCTTTATTACATCTGAAACAGTGGATGTAACCATAAACAGAAGTGGATTTCCTCTCTCCCTTTCTTCTTTTCTGCCATTCTTCCTTCAGGAGGCTGAATGCTTTTGCTGCATTATCTGCTTGCTTAAATGATTTTGCCTTCTTAAAGGAGATTCTTCCATAAGTGTATTTTTAAAAATACCGTGCCTTTTACCTCACTTAAAAATGTTAGCCTGGTTTGCACCAACCCCCCTTTTGTGTTTCTATAGTCTGCTCCAGTGGCTGCAGACGAGGGTGGTGTGGGTGGTGGAGAGTCCCCTTAGCTTCTGGAGGGCATATGAAGCAGATACTTGAGCCATCCCTCTGGCTTTTGTGCCTGCTGCTGACCCTCTTTCCTTTCACCTAGAACTCAAGGTGCCCTGACCCCACACTAGCCCAGGGTAAAGCCCTCTGGGATTGTCCAGATGGCCCCGTGCCAACAGTGGGTCAAGTGCATAGGTGGCAGCTGTGGTCCAGACTCAGCCCCCAGACAGGGCTTACTTATCCATGCAGAAAAATCCAAAATGTTTGAATTTGTTGACGTCCTTAAAGATGGAGATTTCCGGCCGGGCGCGGTGGCTCAAGCCTGTAATCCCAGCACTTTGGTAGGCTGAGACGGGCGGATCACAAGGTCAGGAGATCGAGACCATCCTGGCTAACACGGTGAAACCCCGTCTCTACTAAAAAGTACAAAAAACTAGCTGGGCGAGGTGGCGAGCGCCTGTAGTCCCAGCTACTCGGGAGGCTGAGCCAGGAGAATGGCGTAAACCCGGGAGGCGGAGCTTGCAGTGAGCAGAGATCCGGCCACCGCACTCCAGCCTGGGTGACAGAGCGAGACTCCGTCTCAAAAAAAAAAAAAAAAAAAAAGATGGAGATTTCCTGTAGGGAAAACCAGCGGGAAGACTGGTCCATGTTAGATCCTCAATCCCACAGGGCTACCGTCGGCCTTTGTAGCCAGGCTGAGCCAAGACTGTGCCTGTAATCCCAGCTACTTGGGAGGTTGAGACAGGAGAATTGCTTGAACCCGGGAGGCGGAAGTTGCAGTGAGCTAAGATTGTGCCACTGCACTCCAACCTGGGCAACAAGAGTGAAACTCCATCTCAAAGAAAAACAACAGCAGCAAAAACAATCTTGAGCTCCAAAGAGCCCTAAAGGAGCAGGTAAAGAAGTCTCCTACCCTCTCATTTTCCTTTGCCCACCATGTCGGGTGTGTCTTACAGGAAGCATGGCTGGAATCTCACTGTAGGGGAAAATGAAGAGCAAAGGCACTTGCTGTTTCCTAAAGGGGTTAGGAGATCAAATGTCCAGCTCCTGCTGTCACTCAGCCAGCCCACACCTGCTGGGAAATACAAAAAAGTAGGTTTCCTATATTTTGTAGGGTATTGTGTTACAGTAAGCTTAGCAGTTGACATGTCTGTAATACAGTGCTCTGTGTTTTTTTTTGTTTTTTTTTTTGAGACAGAGTCTCACTCTGTCGCCCAGGCTGGAGTGCAGTGGCACGATCTCGGCTCATGCAACCTCCGCTCCTCCAAGTTTAAGCAGTTCTCTGCCTCAGCCTCTGGAGTAGCTGGGATTACAGGCGTGTGCCACCATGCCCGGTTAATTTTTGTATTTTTAGTAGAGACGGGGTTTCACCATCTTGGCCAGGCTGGTCTTGAACTCCTGACCTCATGATCCACCCGCCTCGGCCTCCCAAAGTGCTGGGATTACAGGCATCAGCCACCACGCCTGGCCAATTTTCACCCTTTTATACATGGAAAGTTTGCCAGATAAGCCCTATTTCCACAAAATGGCAGAAGTGAATTAAAACTTTGCTTATGAAGTTTGACTTGCAATTAGTATATCTTGGCAGCTTATTTGATGACTTTTTAAGACAATCTCAGCTTCCTTACATGAAATACAGACCCCTTTCCTGCTGCCTACACAGGGAGATGCTGAGAAGAGAACTGTGAGTGCCGCAGGAGTGACTGAGGGCAGCGGACAAATGTCGAGGCTCAAATCCTGCATAAGCACAGAAGGTTGTAGACACCCTGGTGCAGGGCTCTGAAGAAAAGATGCATTACCTTTTTAAATGACAGTAGTTCAGGATTATGGGAAAATTCAAAGTTAAGGAAAAGTATTTTAAAAGTCCATCAAAATCCACATTTGGCCAGGTGAGGTGACTCACACCTATAATCCCAGCACTTTGGGAGGCCGATGCAGGTTGGATTGCTTGAGCTCAGGAGTTTGAGACCAGCCTGGGCAACATAGTGAAACCCATCTCTACAAAAACACAAAAAATTAGCCGGGCGTGGTGGTATGTGCCTGTGGTCCCAGCTACTTAGGAGGCTGAGGTGGGAGGATTGCTTGAGCCCAGAAGCCGGAGGTTGCAGTGAGCTGATACCATGCCATTGCACTCCAGCCTGGGCGACAAAGCAAAACCCTGTCTCAAAAAAAAAAAAAAAAAAGAGGCCGGGTGCGGTGGCTCATGCCTGTAATCCCAGCATGTTGGGAGGCTAAGGCAGGTAGATCACCTGAAGTCAGGAGTTCGAGACCAGCCTGACCAACATGGAGAAACCTCATCTCTACTAAAAATACAAAAATAAGCTGGGCCTGGTGGTGGATGCCTGTAATCCCAGCTACTTGGGAGGCTGAAGCAGGAGAATCGCTTGAACCCAGGAGGCGGAGGTTGCAGTGAGTCGAGTTCATGCCACTGCACTCCAGCCTGGGCAGCAAGAGTGAGGCTCCATCTCAAAAAAAAAAAAAAAAAAAAAAAAGAATCCATACATTATCCTTACGCAGATTCTTAGGCTCCTTTCTGCCCCCCGAGAGTGGTTTGCTTGCTTGCACTCCTTATATAGTCATCCCTCAGCATCTGTGGAGGATCAGCTCTAGGACTCCCCACATATAGAAAATTCATAGGTGCTCAAGCTCCTTATGCAAAACGGTGCAGTTGGCCAGGCACGGTGGGCTCACACCTGTAATCCCAGCACTTCGGGAGGCCAAGGCAGGCAGATCACCCGAGGTCAGGAGTTCGAGACCAGCCTGGCCAACATGGTGAAACTTTATTTCTACTAAAAAGTAGTTGTCCCAACTACTCAGGAGGCTGAGGCAGGAGGATCACATAAACCTGGGAGGCAGAGGTTGCAGTGAGCCAAGATCTCACTATTGCCCTCCAGCCTGGGTGACAAGAGCAAAACTCTGTCTCAAAAAAAAAAAAAAAAAAAAAAAGGTTGGGGGCAGTGCAGTGGGCCCTCAATAGCCACAGGTTCCACATCTGCCAGCACTATCCCTGGATGTCAGTGATAGTCCATACCTTTTTAGCTCTGGTACTGTGAAGGGGACTTCATGTGGCTTATTTTCACTCACCCTCCTAACAGTTCTGTGAGTGGCTACTATTAGTCCCACTGTATAGAAGTGAAAACTGAGGCTCTGAGTAATGTGGCTCAAGGTCACCCAGCTAGTAATGAGGCTGCCAGAGTGAAGGGACCCATGGTATTTTTTCTGAAGCCTGTGGGAGGCTTCAGGTATTAGTTTATTTGCCTTTTTCTTAAATCCTCTAATGCTTTAGGCCCCAGGGCCTTGCAGGCATTGTGAGATCTGAGTTGGGGATCACACGGCAGTGCTTTCTGTTCTGTTCTTTCCCTGTCTAGGCATCATGGCCATCCTGTTCTCAGGCATTGTGATGTCCCACTACACGCACCATAACCTCTCCCCAGTCACCCAGATCCTCATGCAGCAGACCCTCCGCACCGTGGCCTTCTTGTGTGGTGAGTTCTGCGTCTGTGTGGCCATGCGCAGGCCCACCCAGAGCTGATCTTTCTTCCTTACCCTGTTTTAGAGTCAGTTGAGACTTTCCCTGGCAGCAGGGCAGCAGCTCCTCAGAGCCAGATCCCGTACTCGCTTATCCTTTGTTTGTTCCTCTGGCTTTGAAATTTCATAAAGTAAACTAAACACCTAATAAATGAACATCTGGTGCCTACGATTTAAAGACCAAAAATAGTGAGAACCAATTATGAACATTTGAGACATGAATTTTTAATGTATTAATGTGACATTTCCAAAAATGTAGTCCTTGGAAATAATACTAATGATGGTTAGATGAAAATGGCTCCATAGTCAAGCAAGGCATGGGGCTCACGCCTGTAATCCCAACTGTTTGGGAGGCTGAGAGGATCACTTGAGCCCAGCAGTTCGAGGCTGCAGTGGGCTATGATCTTCAACAAAAAAAAAGAAAGATAGAAAAAGATAAATTTTGTAGTCAAGAGTTTAGGAAATCCTGGTTAAATAAAATTTAACATTTATGAATTGCCAGACTTTTCAGCAAATGTGCATTGTAAAATCCTTAACGGGGGATATAGTTACAGAATTTTCCAAACTTGTCCACAGAATCTTTTATTCACAGAGCAGCCTGAGGGACATCATTCGGGGACAGTTTGCAGTAGAGATGTCATTTGTTGGGCTGGGATAAACCATGATGGCTTTGTCTTTAAGCAGTTTGTTCGAGCTTATTCTCCCCACGCTCAGACATACCCATGTATCTCCCCACCAACTTTATACTTGGAAGTGGTTGGGGTCGGGGAACAACTCTCACCATGTCTCTCTAAGCTGGCCCCCAAGTGGCTCCTGCCCTAGTTGTCATCATCAAAGTCACTCCTGGCATTTTGGGGGATTTGTCTCTCTCTTTTTTTTTTGAGACGGAGTCTCGCTCTGTCGCCCAGGCTGGCGTGCAGTGGCGCGATCTCGGCTCACTGCAAGCTCCGCCTCCCGGTTTCACGCCATTCTCTCACCTCAGCCTCCCCAGTAGCTAGGACTACAGGTGCCCGTCACCACACCCAGCTAATTTTGTTTTTTGTATTTTTAGTATAGATGGGGTTTCACCGTGTTAGCCAGGATGGTCTTGATCTCCTGACCTTGTGATCCACCTGCCTCAGCCTCCCAAAGTGCTGGGATTACAGGCAAGAGCCACCACGCCCAGTCATTTGTCTCATTTTTAATTGCTACTTCCACACTGTTAGCATGCTAGAAGGTAGGGGCAGGCCAGGCAGAAACTTCAGCAGATAAGGAGGCTCAGGTGAGGAGTAGTCACGTGACTTGCCCATGGTCTCACGGCCAAGAAGTGGGTATGCAGGCCAGGTCTCTTTATTCCTGGGCCAGTTCTCTCTATTCCTGGGCCAGGTCTCTCTCTTCCTGGGCCAGAGGGTATTATTTGTACAGCACCTCTCTCAGAAAGTGAGACTACAGATTCTGACTCTGACCCTCCCAGTTAAAGACACATAAAGCAAATCATCCATCCAAAAAGATTCTGTTTTTTACCCAGCAGACTGGCAAATGTTAAGCTTGATAATACCCACTTCTGGCCTTGGTGTGTGGAAAACAGGCCTCCTGGAATCTTTTCTGGAGAGTCATTTGCCGTGTCTGTCTGAATTTAAAAGGCACGTACTCTTTGGCCCAACAGTTCAACCATGTGGAATTTAGCCTGTACTGGGGTGTTTGCTGAACCTCTCAGAAATAGAAACAATCTAAATATCCTTCCATAGTGGATTGGTCATTAGAAAAATTGTCAAGTTTTGACAGTTTGTCAAGTGTGACTGAAAGACCGTCAAATACTCTGCAGATAAACATGATCCCACCCAGGGAAGAGGATAAACACGATTCTGCCTGCTGGCTGAACACTGTCACTAGCAAGGGTCCCAACTGTGGCAAAGTGGCCAAAATTCAGAGCAAATGACTGCGACGCCACATGACAAATGTGAAGGGGCTTTGGTTAACCATGATATATCCAGACCTTGGAGTTGATGCTGCCAGGAAAAAGCATCCACTAGATCTGAATGTCTTCTAAATGTGCTCATTTGGAAAGATCACACAAATATTAGATAAGAAAAAATTTCAAAGAGAGGAGGGTGGGTAAACTCTCCAGCTTGTGGACTTGTTTTAAACTTGGGTACCATTCAAAGGAAAAACATTGTTAGAATGTAAAACAGCCTTGCTCTTTATGATCAGCTATTTTAAAATACAGTTTTAGACCAGGCGCAGTGGCTCACGCTTGTAATCCCAGCACTTTGAGAGGCCAAGGTGTGCGGATCACAAGGTCAGGAGTTCGAGACCAGCCTGGCCAACACAGTGAAACCTTTCTCTACATAAAAAAAAAAAAAATTATCTGGGTGTGGTGGCGGGCACTACAGTTCCAGCTACTGGGAAGGCTGAGGCAGAGGAGAATGCTTGACACGGGAGGCGGACCGGTTGTATAGAACCGAAGATCATGCCACTGCAACTCCAGCCTGGGAGAGAGAGTTGAGACTCTGGTCTCTTAAAAATAGGTACATATATACAGGTTTTAATCTCTTTAGTCATTATGCTATTCTGAGAGGACATCACGAAGTTTAAGCGAAGAGCTGTGTTAGATAATTTATAAGGGTGCTTTTTCTTAAAATATACAAAGTTTGTGTGAAGAGAGTAATATTTGGGGCTCTTTTGTGGCTTGCAATGTGGAGCCAGAGTTAGCAATGAGTTCCTCTGAGCAACCTGCTGGGTGGGAGCTGGTGTTCTAAACTGTTGGCCCATGTTAAATATAATGTAAGGCTCAATCATGGAGTTAACTAAGACCCTTCACGTTTGTCATGCTGGCGTTGCAGCATTTGCTCTGAATTTGGCCACGTGCCAAGTGGGACCTAGCTAGTGACAGTGTTCAGCAGATCGGCAGGTTCATGTGTTTCTATTTCCCTGGGCGGGATTGCGTTTATTTGCAGAAGTATTTGACAGTTGACTCATTACACTTAAAGAGATTTCTGAAATACCAGGACATATGCTTATATAGTGAAAAGAATAAGAGAGATTTAAGCACAAGTTTGGCCAAGATATTGGCTGCAGGGTTTTCAAGAAAATTAAGGAAAGTGTTGTATGGATTTCTGCTGTGAAAGTGGTTTGCTTGCTAACCAGTTTCAGTACATATTGAATGAATCATTGGGGTTGAATAATCCTTCTTTGGTGTTTCAGAACAATTGGTTGTTTGCATTTCTATGGCTGTCCATTTTGTGTTTCCTCACAAGTTTGAAATTTCCTTTGTCATCTGGGCATAGTTAATATTTTCCTTGTTTTTTTTTATTTAATACTTATTTGTAGATCAAAACACAGTTCTGGATTCGTCTTATTGTAACTGTTAACTTTTCAAAGTCAACAGCTTACATAGACAGTCTTTTGTGTTTAAGTTTCTTTTGTTAAAAAAAAAAAAGAATCACAAACATCACTAAAAGGGGCAGGGGTGATTAAGGAATAAATATCCCAGCAGGACGTTTTTTAAGGTTTTTTGTTTTTTTTTGTTTTTTTTGTTTGCTGAGATGTGGAGTCTCGCGTCTGTCGCCCAGGACTGGAGTGCAGTGTAGTCTGCTCTTCAGCTCACTGCAACCTCCACCTCCAGGTTCAAGTGATTCCTCTCCTCGCCGCTCCAAGTAGCTGGGATTACAGGGCACACATATCCATGCCCGGCTAATTTCTGTTTTTTAGTAGACAGGGGTTCCATTCATTACTGGTCAGACGGTCTTAACTCCTGACCTCGTGATCCACCTGTCTCCGCCTCCCAGAAGTGCTGGGATTACAGGCATGAGGCACCGCGCTCAGTCTTTTTTTTAAGATTTTAATGGCCTTGAATTATTATGGTCTTTAAATAAAAGTACAGGTTTGTAGGTTTTTGTGTGAGGAGGTAAAGCAGATTTCAAAATTGAATATGTAATTGTCTACCATGTAAAACTATTATGCACAGAAAAAAAGAAGTATGTAAAGAAATGTAGCACATGTTCACAGTGGTTATAGAGCTGGGATTTCTTTCTCTTTCCTAATTTTTCTGGATAGTTTATTATGTACTTCTTACTGCAGTTTTCTTCAACATTTGTTATTAATATTGTCTGTTTATAAGATAGTCTTCCTGCAACCTGGGTACTTCCACCTGTCACTTCAGCAAGAGGCTCATTGCTCTTGGTCACTGTTATTAGTCCTCCAAACTCAGGTTTCAGGGCAAAAAAAAAGCAGCAAAAGTAGCAAAAAGCCCTTTACAGAAAGTATAATAGCCTAGGCTGGACGCAGTGCTCACACCTGTAATCTCAGCACTTTGGGAGGCCGAGGCTGGTGATCATGAGGTCAGGAGTTCGAAACCAGCCTGGCCACATGGTGAAACCCTGTCTCTACTAAAAATGCAAATTAGCTTGGGCGTGGTGGTCCGCGCCTGTAATTCCACCTACTCGGGGACTGAGGAGGAGAATGGTTGAACGCGGGAGGTGGAGGTTGCAGTGCAGTGAGCCGAGACCTCGCCATTTGCACCCCAGCCTGGGCAAAAAAGAGCAAAACTCTGTCTCAAGAAAAGTATAATAGCCTTTAGTGTGGCCACTGGATAAAGGGGCCCATTTAATCAAACCTGAAACACCAGTGTAGGCATGGAAGATTGGATTTCAGTGGGTGAAACAGGGAGGTGACTATTTTCAGCCACAGGTTGGGAGGAAAATGAGAGGATGCCCTGGGGTGGACAACTCAGTTTTCTCTAAGCAGTTAGGCCCAGGCTGGCCCTGCAGCTAGTGGAGATGGCCTTGTGCTGTTCAGATGGGTTACAGTTCCTACCCTGTAAGCTCCGCTTAGTGGTCAAGAGCATGGGCTTTGGGGTCTGAACCAGATTTGAGGCTTGAATCCATTACTTCCTGCTTGTCAACTTGAACCAATTACTTCATCTCTCTCTATACCCTCAGTTCCCTTGCCTATAAACTGGAGATATAATACCTACTTTATAAGACCTTTGCAGGGATTTAAATTTAGCAGGATAATGCATGTAAAATGATCAGCATGTTGTCTGGCATAGAAATGTTTGATGATTGGAAACATTTACTCTTGACCAGGCGTGGTGGCTCACACTATTATCCAGCACTTTGGGAGTCTGAGGCGGCAATTACTTGAGGTCAGGTGTTTGAGACCAGCCTGGCCAACTTGGCGAAACCCAGTCTCTACTAAAAATACAAAATCAGCTGGGCATGATAGCACACGCCTGTAATCCCAGCTACTAGGGAGACTGAGGCAGGACAATTGCTTGAACCTGGGGGGCCAGATGTTGCAGTGACCAGGATCGCACCCACAGCACTCCATCTCAAAAAAAAAAAAAAAAAAAAAATACTGTAAAATTCATGCTTGTTAAGGAATAAACTGAAAGCCTAAAGAATGTGCTGGCCGGGCGGCGGTGGCTCAAGCCTGTAATCCCAGCACTTGGGAGCGAGACGGGCGGATCACGAGGTCAGGAGATCGAGCACATTCCTGGCGAACACGGTGAAACCCCATCTCTCTAAAAAATAACCAAAAAACTAGCGGGCGAGGCGGCGGGGCGCCTGTAGTCCAGTACTCGGATGCTGAGGCAGGAGAAATGGCGTAACCCGGGGGCGGAGCTTGCAGTGAGCTGAGATCCGGCCACTGCACTCCAGCCGGGGCGACAGAGCCAGGACTCCGTCTCAAAAAGAAAAAAAAAAAAAAAAAAAGAATGTGCTGTATATGTCTGTGTCATCCTTTTCAAGTAATTATGGTAAGAACCAAAATGAAGAAAATGAAAGTAAAGTAATAAATGTCCTAAGAATCCACTTGGATAAGATTTAAACTTTAGGCTGGGTGCAGTGACTCACACCTGTAATCTTAGCACTTTGGGAGGCAAAGGAAGGATGATTGCTTGAGACCAGGAGTTTGAGACCAGTCTGGGCAACATAGCAAGACCTCATCTTTAACTAAAAAGTTTAAAAAATTAGCCAGGCATGGTGGTGCATGCCTGTAGTTCTAGCTACTTGGGAGGTTAAGGTGGGAGGATCACTTGAGCCCAGGAGGTTGAGGTTGCATTGAGCCACAATCGCGCCACTGTACTCTAGCATGGGAGACAGAGCGAGACCTTGTCTCAAAAAAAAAAAAAAAAAAACAACAAAAGATGTGAACTTTACATATAGCTGTACTTTGCCAAGACTAACATGCCTTTGGAGTTGGAGAGGAACCAAAAGCCACAGCAAGAAGCTGGCCGGCTAAGCCAGGGCATATGGCCTCCTTGTAGACCCTACCTCTGCGTTCCTCTTGCTCAGACAGCAGTGTTTCCACGCATGGGTAGGTCCTTCACAGCTGCCCTCCTTTCCCTGAGGGAGAAGCAGAAACACCTTGTCTGTCCCCTTGGGGCTGGAATGATCAATGCAGGCCTGTCCCAAGGAGGAGCGCCTTTGGAGTCAGGTTTTCCTTAAACTAATCTGTGAATACTTCTGTACAGCCTCTTGGCATTCAGTTTTGTTCTGCTGTCATTACTAATGCCCTTCCTGATACCTCGTCGGTTCTCTTTTCTGGCTACTGAGAAAGGTAACGTACAAAGCTTTATCCTTTCCTAGATACATAGAATCCCGCAGCTCCGGCAGCACGCCCATGCTGGGTCTCTCACGAGCATGGTGTTGCTCGTGTCTTTTGTGGCTGAGGGGAATGAGGGGAATGCTGCATTTGTACTGGATGTGTTACACAGTCTGCAACAGCTTCAAGAAGCTTCAGCGTGAAGAGCCAGATGTTTTCACCTAAGACTTAGTTTGTTGCTATCAACAGGTGCTTGTACTATTTGGCAGAGCGGTAAACATTTTCCCTCTTTCCTACCTCCTGAATTTCTTCCGGGATCATAAAATCACACCGAAGATGATGTTCATCATGTGGTTTAGTGGTAAGTCAAATCTTGAATAAATGGAGTGGGGAAATACCTGTTAAAAGCACGCCCCACACAGAGAGAGCCATGGTTCTCTGCTAGCGCCCTTGGCAAAGCCACAAGTAATCAATACTCCCGTCTAATGGCACCTACTGCAACCAAGATGGTGCCCCTCACCATGGTGCTATGAAGTGGGCGAGGCTAGGTTGGAAGAGGGCAAAGGACATGCCCAGGGTCACGTGACCACTGGAGGCAGAGCCGGGATTTCTGCCACTCTCCCCTGGACAGGACAGTGCAGTCCAGGACGCAGCTGGACGTGGCTCAGTGCCTCCCTGTGGGTTTTCTAGGCTGAAGTAATAATGGACTCAAGGTAGAAAAGGTGAAAGTTGAAACTGTTTCATACCTTATGTTAGTTTTGGATATTTTTCCTTTAAGTCACAAAGTTCTGGTAGTTTAATTTGAATGTTTCAGTTGCTATTTAATCACTTTTTAAAGGATGGAAATGATTTCATAAATCTTTGCTTCTAAAGAACTGGATCCATAGGCATCCTTAAATTTATTTTTGAGCAATACATACTGTTCTTTATGCTTTCTTGCTTAAATATTATAATTAAAGTATTTTCCGTGTGGGTTGAGTTATAGCAACATACTTTATAATGTTCTTTATCCAAAGGCATATCTGCAAGTTTGTCTCAGATTTGTCTTCTTTCTAAAGGCCATGTTTAAAAATGTATATGTTTCATATATATGTACGTATATGTCTATGTATGTATACATATATATATGGTGAGAAAAACTCATTTTTTTCCTAATCTCTTTTTCTAGTGAGGCAAACTACTTTGTAAAGTGGTTGCAGAAGTGTGTCAGAGGTTTTTGAAGTGATGTGAGCTATTTGGGAAGGGGGGCATGAGGATGAGAGAGCGTTACAGGGAAGGTTGGAGTGTATTTGAAATGGCGGGAGCTGTCAGCTCCTGTTCTCTCCCAGGCTCCCCGGGCTCTTGCTCCGTGGGTTTCCATCCAGGCTTTCCTGGATCTTCAACGAGGGGCACCGAGCAAGCGTCTGCTTCCGGCCCCTCCTATCATCATTTAAGCAATCAGAGCTTCTCCTTCCTACAAAACACCAGGAACTTCAGCCAGAGTTCCTCCTCACGTCCCCCGCCGCTGCATCCACGCCTCTTTCGCCATGGCCAGACCCCTGCGAGTGAGCCATGCTCGCTCATTTTCCCCACTTCTTCACCGTCTGTCCACGGGGCAGGATTTGGCCTTCGCAGGTCACCAGTGACCTCCCGCAGCCAGACCTGGAGGGGAGGGATCCGCCCCCATCCTAGTCCACCTCCTTCCCACCGCCCCTGCCTCTGACGAGGACCGTTTCACCCTCTTCCCCGGCCTCTGGGGCAAGCTCCTCCTTTCTCCTCTTTGGTGTCTCCTTGGGCTCGTCCCCCTTCACTAACCCCTCAAATAGCGGCTTTTTCAGGAGTTGGCCCCAGCCCCACTTCTGTTTGTGTGTTCTGCACTTCACTGAGTGTGCTCACGCATCCACTGGCCTTCACTTCCACCTAGTCCAAAGCTGTTCCCGCAAACCCAGACCTCCCTCTGGGATCCATACTCCTGTTTCCAGCTGCCTGTTTGGATGCCATGGAGATACCGCCATCCCTATGCCTTTGCATCTCCCTTGCCCAAGAAATCTTTGAATTGCCCCATGGCCTGGCTAGCTGGTACTAAGCACTTGCTGGGTACATACTCTGTTAAAGCACATGACATGTGCCATGCCACTGAACCCTCTGGCCCGTGACAGGTTTAGAGAGGCTGAGAGTCCTTCGTCCTTGCCATGTCTCTGTATTATGTGCCCTTTGCTCTTGCCCTGCCATCTCCCCATCTGGGTCTGGCCTGCAGCAGTCTGGCTGTCCTACCTCATGGTGATGTGAGCCTCCCTGCCTTCCTGTCTGGGGCAGGTCCTGGTGCTGTCTACACCCCACCCTCCCACCTTCTCTTCCAGGTACCATTTCACAACCCTCATTTGCTGTGTCTCCTCCCAGCTGCTCTAGGAGCTCCCCAAGGGTGGGGCTAGGACTGCCTGTCCCCTCAGTACGGCGCCAAGGAAGCCAGGAAGCTTCTAAGAGAGGAAAGTGCTGTTTCCCAGCTCAGTCCATGCCCCTCAGTTGTTTCCTAGTAGCCTCACAGGGGACCAGCCAGCCTCATTACCACCTAAGCAGCCCACAGCCCCATCAGTGCCACCAGGGGCCTCCACAGGGGCAGCATCTCGAGATAGGAGGGGTACTGGACACTGCATCCTGTGCTGTTGTGGGTATTAGATGAGTGGCCCTGGGTGGGCCATGCTGCTCTTGGCCTCCATCCCTCATCTGTGTGTTGTGGACAAGAGTATCGCTGCTCGGTAAGGATTCCTGTGAAGATCCAGTGATGCTCTACATGCTGAACACCTGCCCGGGCCTGGCGCACACACAGGAAGGGCTCAGCCCACAGCAGCTGTCCTGCAGTTTCCAGGACACGAGCGTCAGGCTTGATAAGTCCTCCTGCACCCACACCTGGGGCTCTGTAGCTGGGGCAGGCCACCTCATTTGATCTGCCCAAGTGGGCATGGAGGTGAGTCTGTGGTCCCCACATCTCTGCCACCTGCTCTTTACACCTCAAAGCCTCACAGGGCGAGCACACGCCCTTTAGCAGGGCCATTAGAATAATCGGCTGGTCGCAGTGTTGGGCTGGTGGATTTCCAGGGAAGCCAGCCCATGAAGCTGCTGCCTTCCTCACTGTGTCCTCTCATGCTGTCTGCTGTCCCCCAGGCCTGCGGGGGGCCATCCCCTATGCCCTGAGCCTGCACCTGGACCTGGAGCCCATGGAGAAGCGACAGCTCATCGGCACCACCACCATCGTCATTGTGCTCTTCACCATCCTGCTGCTGGGCGGCAGCACCATGCCCCTCATTCGCCTCATGGACATCGAGGACGCCAAGGCACGCCGCAGGAACAAGAAGGACGTCAACCTCAGCAAGACGGAGAAGATGGTCAGTATCACGCACCTGCGGGGTGGGGCAGGGGGCTGGCCTGCTGCACAGCTGATGGTCCCCACTGTCAGGAAATGGGGAGATGAGCCTTGCTTTGAGGACGCCCAGCACCTCCACACACACGTCACACACGCACACACACCGGTCCCCCACTGAGAAGGAGGTGACAGGACTTGAGTTCTGAAGCATGGCTCTTGTTGGGGGGGTGTCTGGCAACTTTGTGACCTGCCGCAGCCAGGGAAGCTGTGGGCGACCCCATCTGCTCCCTCTCTGAAGCTCCATAGGGCACCACAGGAGTCTGGGCCTATGCCACTCTCCCAGCAGTGCCTCTGCCCTGCCAGCAGCTGAGACACCTGTCAGGGCCCAGGTTTGAGGGTTTCAAAATCCCATCATTCCCCAGTATGGTTTTACTAAAAACCACCTGTTAGGGGCCTGAGGAGGGGAGGACGGCTTGTGGTGGCTGTGAGGGCCGTGAGGGGTACTCCCCCAAGGACAGACATGGTGTGGGGTTGGAGGTATCCAGGCCCCAGCTGTAGGGAGAGCTGAGGCTCTGCAGCCTGCCCACCTCTTCTTCCTACAAGCCGCTGCCCCTGCCACCAAGCTGCCTTCCTGCCCTGTCTTCACCCTCAGGACCTCTATGCAAAGCTAGGCCCTCTGACCAAAGCAGAGGCTGCTGTAGGCTCCAGCCCAGAGCATCCCCTGCCAATCGTGCATTTCTGGACATGCATCTCTTTCTAGTTTCCATATGCTAGGCCTCAGTAACTTTAATCAGTCATCAGAGGCCCAGGAGTCCTCACGTAGCCATCCACGGCTAACATTGGAGTCAGGGCTGGCAAGACCATGGCCTCCAGTCTCCAAACTGGGCCCCTCAGCCAGTGCAGTGTGCTGCTGGGAGGAAAGTTCCAGATGGCTGTGAGGCCTGGCTCTGCAGAACTTCCATCACACTAAGAGGCCCTTTGCCACCAACCCCTATCTACCAACTTTTTTGGTTTTCACAAAAGCTCTAGCTTAGGTCTTTCTGGGTATCAGAATTGGTGGGCGGTTGCTACACACAGGCTGCTGGGTCTGTCACCAGCATCTCATAGGTCTGGCATGGGGTCCGAAAGAATTTGTGTTTCTTCTTTATTTCCGAGACAGGGTCTCACTCTGTTGCATAGGCTGAAGTGCAGTGGCGCGATCGTGGCCGCCCACTGCAGCCCGGACCTCTTGGGCTCAAGCGATCCTCTCACCTCAGCCTCTGGAGTAGCTGGGACTCCAGACAGGCGTGACCCCACCCAGCTAATTTTTTTCTTACTTTTAGTAGAGACAGGGTCTCACTATGTGGCCCATGCTAAGAATTTGCGTTTCTAACAAGTTGCCAGGTAGTACTGCTGCAGCCAATCCTGTGAACACGCTTGGCGAAGCACAGCACTAGCAGAAACAGGACAGCTCCTCTGAGGATGAACCGCTGAGTTTCTGGAATGTTTTCTGTGGCAGTCAATGTGCTTGCATTTTCCTTGGACTATCTCAGATTGTCCCAATAGCCTGCCTGGAAACTGGTGCTTTCATTATACCCATTTTGCAGATGAGAATGCTGAGGCACCAAGAGAATCAGATCAGACAGCTGCGGGCAGACTCCCAAGCCTGCGTTCTTCACCACCACACTGATCAGCAGTCCTCAAAATGGGGTCCCCAGACTAGCAGCATCACTGGAAACCTGTTAGATCTGCAGATTCCCAAGCCCACTCAGATCTACTGAATTAGCACCTCTGCAGGTGGCTCCGGTGGGCTCCGTATTTTGTGGTTTCACAAGCCCCCCAGGTAGATTCTAATACAGACCAGTGTTTGACAACCACTGCTTCACAGCATCTAAATGCCCTCCCCTCCCCTGCCGTCATCTCCCCTCCCTGCTCCTGCCCGGCACCCATCTCCCCCCCCACCCCCGCCACCACCTGCACCTGTGGCCCCACCAAGGCTCCTGCAGCAGAACGGGCACTGCACTCAGAGCCTGTCTGCTTTGCTCCTGCCTCTTCACCTCTGGCCCTCCCCTCCACATGGGGCCCTTTTCTCATCCCTCTCCAATGCCTACAGGATGTGTCCCTCTCCCCTCTCCTCTCCTGACTTGATTGGCAAAAGCCTGTCCATGATGGAGTCCTAGCTAATAGACCCACAGGCAAAGAGACAAAAAGCCTCCCTGTGCAATTTGCTGCTAATGAAAAGCCCGGAACAGCAGTTCGGTCCTGGTTGCATGATAGAATCACCCAAAAAGCTTGAAAAGCTTAAAAACCAAGCCCCAGCCCAGCCCAGTCCTTCTGTTTTAGCTGTCCTAGGTGGGGTCCTGGGCATCCATTGTGCCCTGAGGGACCTTCCTGCCTCCCTGCGGGCTCCCAGGAGGCCGTCTGCTGCCCATCGTCACCCTGCACTGATGGTCAAGTGGAGTTAGGATTGGGGACACTGGCGGCCTGGGTGGTGTGGGGGCTTCCAGAGGTGCCCCCGATGGTGCCTGCTGATGGCCGTCGGGCCGCCTTTCTTCCCTGCTCAGGGCAACACTGTGGAGTCGGAGCACCTGTCGGAGCTCACGGAGGAGGAGTACGAGGCCCACTACATCAGGCGGCAGGACCTCAAAGGCTTCATGTGGCTGGACGCCAAGTACCTAAACCCCTTCTTCACTCGGAGGCTGACGCAGGAGGTGGGATACCGGCCAGGCCACACTTTCTGGGGGTCCCTTGCCTGCCTCCTTCAGGACCTGCGGTGGCCCAGGGTGGGGTGGAGGAAGAGTGGGGAGGCAGAAAGTCTCACGTGGGCCCGCCAGGCTGCCGCCTCCTGATCTACAGGCTGGACATGCTTGTGGAACTCGGCATCTGCTGTTTTTCCTTCGCTGCCACGTTTAGTGCGAGGTTAATAATAGATTTGTTAACACAGTTTGGTTTTCCTGGATGACAGACATGGGGTATCGATCAGCTACTGAATCAGAGCTGAGGAATTTCAGACATACCAGGACCTCAGGCTGTGGCCCAAGGCTGCCCCCAGCTCAGGCCTCTGGTTCTGTCCCTCGGGGCACTGCTGGCCTCTCTTTAGTTGGAGGCCTTGCGTAGGGGTGGGGCTCTTCCTGCGGCTGCCTGCTTTGTTTCTATGCAGGCCCATTTTCCATTCTCGGGCAGGCCTGATAGCTGCCGGTGTGTGCGCTCTTCCAGGAGCCAGGCAGCTCCAGTGACTGTGACCACAACTGCTTCCTTCTCCAGCATCCTGTGCAGTGGATGCAGCTGTCTCCCTGACAGCTGAGGAGATGGAGGCGCAAGGGGGTGCAGTAACCCCGCGAGATCACAGCCAATACGGGCATAATTGGGAGCAGAGCTAAGTGTGTCTGACTCCAGAGACCACATTTTCAACCTCACGCCATGCTACCTCCTTCTTTCTGAATGACACCTCCCATGATCTCCACCCCCACAAAGAACAATCCCAGCTCAGTTTGTTCAATTGAAACTGAAGTTGCCTGTGGCCATCACCCTACCTCCTACCTCCTCCCCAGACACCCCACCCAAGCCACCCAGCAGCCTCCCCTCCCTTCCTTGGCCCTGCCCCTGACGGCTTGGTTGTGTCTCTCGACCCAGGACCTGCACCACGGGCGCATCCAGATGAAAACTCTCACCAACAAGTGGTACGAGGAGGTACGCCAGGGCCCCTCCGGCTCCGAGGACGACGAGCAGGAGCTGCTCTGACGCCAGGTGCCAAGGCTTCAGGCAGGCAGGCCCAGGATGGGCGTTTGCTGCCCACAGACACTCAGCAGGGGCCTCGCAGAGGTGTGTGCATCCAGCAGCCCCTTCAGGACTCCAGACATAGAGGGCGGGGCGAGGTACTGGCTGCAGAGTCACCTTAGTCCAGAACTTGCCAGGCCTTTGGAGCCAGGTGACTTCTTGGGAAACTGTCATCTCCCCACTCCTCCCTGAGCCAGCCTCTGCTCAGTGTGGCTCGTCGGCCCACAGAGGGGAGGGAGCACGGGGCCAAGTGCCAGTCATCTGTGAAGCTGGGGCACCTACCCCGCCACCTGGAGGACCCCTGTGGCCCCCTGCCTAGAGCACCATCTACAGGTGTGCCATTCCCCAGCCACTGCCTTCATCCTGCCCCCGCCGGACTGGCAGAGCCAGGGGTGAGCCACCTGCCTTTGAGTCATCAAGATGCCTCCACAGCCACAATTCTGACCTAAGTGGCAGGGCCCAGAAATCTTGAAAACCTCCCGCTGCCCTTTGTGGTACTTCCTGTGCTCCCTCAGAGAGAGGGAGAGAAACGGAGTGACCTTTTTTCCATTGCCTGATTGGCACTTCTCAGCCTGTCTCCCTGGACAGCAGGTGGCTGCTGCCTTTCTCTGGGCATCTTCTGAATGTTTACACTGGTACCTTCTGGTATCTTCTTTAGAGCCCCCTGCAAGCTGCAACCCAAGGCTTTTATCTTGCAGGGTCAGAGCGCCCTCTAGAGGGAAAAGCTAGAGGCACAGAGTTCCTGCTGGCTCACAACTGCTGTCTTAATTAGGTTTAAATTCATGCATTTTACAGCAAAGTGCTGAGAGCCTCGTAGTCACCTCCTGCCATCTGATCTCCCTCCCCACCGTTGCCATACTCAGTTGTTCTTTTGTCTAACCGGAGGCCACTGTGCCGAGGCCCTGCAGTGTCTGCTCACTGCTGCCATCTTCGCTGCTAATCAGGGTTCCATCCTCTTTCCCCTCTCCCAGTTCCCCACCACGTTGGATCCCATTTGTCACCCATGCTAGGGTCCCCAAAGCACTGGGGCAGGGGCCAGAGCAGCAGCACCCAGTGCTCCCCTCTCCCACCCCGACCTGGAGTCAGAAGCAGATGCTCCACGCACACACACCCCAGCCCTGTCCCAGGGGCCCGGCCTCCTCAGCCATCTCAGGGTGAGGAGCTGTCAGTCATGTCCAGATGGAATGGAGTCACTGACTCGCATCCTCTCCTCACCTCCCCTTTGACAAGCCTCAAACTGCTCACCTCATCGAAGGGCCATTGCCAACTTCCGTATGTGGTTCTGGGTCCCAGCGAGCCTTGGAACCTGGCCCCCTGGGGTGGTTTAATTCACCATGTGCATTTCTGCTTCTCTGGGGACACGGTGGGCCAGCATGGTCCCTGGGCTGGAGCAAACGCATCTCCATCTCTTCCACCTCAGACGGTGTGGCTCCGGATATCAGGAGGGACTGACCTCAGGACCTGTGCCAGGAACAAGAGGCCAGGCCCGATGCTGCCACCTCGCCTTGCCCCTGAAGTGAGAGCAGGCCAGCCGGGCAGGAAGCACGCTGTTTACTTTTTGCATGAAAAGTAAATTTGTACTTGATAGAGCTAAAATATGATCTTTTTAAATTTCTCAACCCTATAATTTGAGCCATTGCCTTGCTTAATTTTGGTCTCCACCATTTCCTTCTAGTGGAGAAGAGAGGAAGTCAGAGGGTGGGGACCTTTGCCTGCCCCTGGGCGAGTGGGGGCAGGGATCTGAGACCAGATTGTTCTTGCGCCCCTGCCAGAACTCACTCTCGCCTGAAGTTTAGGGTCCCGTCTCCCAGATGTCAGTTGCTTTGCAATCAGTTGTTTGCCAGGATTTCTTTCTTTCCTAATCTTAAATTCACAGATAAAGCAATGAAAAGAGTCAGATCCCATTTCCGTCTGCCCCCTCGCCGCCAGGTCTGATAGCCCCAACCACGCCACACCTGGCCTCATGCTTTCAGCTGAGACCTGAAAAGGATGCTGTAGCGGAAGAGCATGTGGGGCTTGGTGGGGGGGCCCTAGGATTTGTGGGGGGCAGAGGGGGTGGCGGGACCTTTCCCAGGAGGTACCAGCACCTGCCTCGATCTCCTGTGAGCCTTGTCTGCCCCCAGGCGGCCAGGTGAGGTCAGCAGCCTGGGAGAGTGCCCCCAAGAGATGAGGGCACCCCGTCTTCCTTGGCAGTCTTGACTCGCCTTGGTAACAAAAGGCCATAGAAGTCTGTTTTTCTGGGTCAGTTTTTTCAAATGTCTTTGCCTGAGAATAACAAATTGCTGCTGTCTACCTTTAGCACACCCGATAATTCTATTTGGGGCAGTGAATGCGCAGAAGATATAAAAATATGCAGCTTAACTATATCTTCCTGCATGTGTATTTATTTTCTTCTGGGTCTAGGCCGTGGGACAGGAGAACTGTGGCATGTAGGAGGAATACTTCAGGGTGAGTGAAGGCTGCAGCCAAGGAGCGCTGGGGAAACCAGCCTTTAGCCAGCAGTCCCTCCACCACAGGCGCTGCCGTGTGGAACCAGTTCTTGGAGTAAATCCCATGCTTTCTGCAGCCTGTAGTTGTTATGACCCCTCGGAACAACCACCCCATGACTTGTGTGTGGTCTCGCAGGGAAAGGGGCTGGCTTCTGGGTTCCCGAGATAAGTTTGCAGGGGGCTGGGCCAGGGCCAGGCTAAGGGTGGCTCAGTTCCATCATCTAGAGCTCAGACACTCTGCCCAGAGGCAGAACTGAAGCCCTCTCGGCCCCTACCCTAAGCCAGCCACCCCTCTTCACAGTGGGTGGACTGGGCTGGGCCAGCCGAGCTGGCTGGCATGAGGCCAAGGGGCAGGCCTGAGCGCCAGAGTCACCCAGGTTAGCCCACAGGATTCCTTTGTGTGCCATGGAATGCCGAAAGATGGGTGACTGGGGACCCTTCTTAAAACCCTTGGCAAGGGTGCCATTGGCACGGCTTGGCCTCATGAAGTCTCGGGTCCATGTTCCCACGGGGCGCATATGCTTACAGAGTCCTCAGCAGGGTGGCCGAGGCCAGGCCTCTTCTGCTGAGGAGGGTGCAGGCTGGGGTGTGGGTGTGGCCGGGGGTGGCTCAGGGCTGGAACTGCTGCCTGATTCCTGCGTGGGGAGAAGCTCAGTGGCCGTTGGCTGCCACTGACAAGGATTTCACATGCAGAAGAGAAAAGGTCCCCCTCTGCCCCCCAGATTCCCTGCCGAGTGAGTGCCAGTGTGTGCTGCCCTTGCTGGGGGCAGGTAGGAAACCCTGAGCTTCCTGATGCAGTCATGAAGCAGTGTCCTTGGGAAGGCGTCTCCAGAGCTCCGGGCCCTCTGCCTAACGCCCTCCATCTCAGTCAGATAAAGGCTTCAAGAGAATAAAGAGCCAGCCCCCTTCCATTTAGGCTCCTGCCATTTCCCAAACAGTTCTCCAACAGTTAGACATTGAGGGGCTTCACTGTTAGCGGGCATGTAACAGAAGGAAGACTAATACACACCCCTGCCCTGTCCCATCCCCCTCCCCCGAGCCATTTTCTTGCTGTGCTCTCTGGTGCCCTTGAGTTGGTCTCCCTGGCTGCTCTGCGGGGGCTTCACTGGCTTTGGGGTGAATGCGAAGTGCTGGTGAGCAGTGGGCCTGTGACTGGATAGGAAGATATGCATCCGTGGTCAAAAGTCACCTGCCAGCCCTGTGGAGACAGAGCCTCAGGCTGGGATGGGGAGGCCCCACTACTCCCACCTGGATGGTGGGCACGGCCTGGCTTATACCAAAGGCATTGACGGTTTCTCCAAGTAGGGATCTGCAAAGCTTGAATTGTCCTCAAGATGGCAAAGCTTGAATTGTCAAGATGGATGTGAATCTTACATTCCTTTTCATCATTTCCTATGTAAAAATGAAGAGTGCTGGGTTTTTGTTTTAAGAAGCATTATGAAGGCCAGACGTACTCATTTTTCTCCTGCAAGTGAGCTGGGAGAGGCCCCTGTTAGGCCCGTTTCCTGAGCAGTGCTGTGCTGCTCTTCTTGATGGGGCTTCGGGCTGGGGGGGAAAGCGGGTCAGAGGTGGGGGGCCTGTGGCTGCCATGCGGGAGCCCCTGCGTCATCTCTGACTCTTTAAGGGAGTCAGGAATAGATGTGTGAACAGTCATGTCACTGGATGCCTATTTAGAAATAAAGTGTATGCTGCTGAATCGGAGCCAGTGTCTGTTCATGTTCAGGTGGCTTTGCAGATGCACGGGTCACACCTAGACTGGGCTCTGTGGCACACAGCTACCCAGCCCCTGGGCCGGTGGCAGCCATGTCACCAGGAAGTGCAGTGTTTAGGAGCAGGGCTGGGTCAGGGCAGCCTGTGTCTGGTTCCCACCTTTGGCCCTCAGTGAGGAGCATGTGAGGCTCAGCCCCCAGCCAGGCTCAGCTTCTCCTCACAATGCTGGGAGCCCTTCCTCCCTGGGTTCGCTGGCTGTCCGCCCAGGCTGCAGGGCCGCCTGGCCTCCTGCTCGGGGCTTGTAGATCAGTGCCCCACAGGCATTTGCATGATGGTGAAATGGGGAACTTCTGTCACTGAACCTGCCCTCCCGCAGGAGTGGGGGCGTCCATAGCCTCTGATCAGAGGTGGTGGCGAGTGGGGGAAGAAGGGTCACGAGTTCATCTATACCCCCACGTACTTCCAAAGGCATCCAAGCTGCTGATGGTAACAGGCACGAACCAAAAATGCATGTGATATAAAATGAAACCAGTCAGGAGAAGCTGTCCTGGCCCCGGCCATGGGGCAAGAGCTGAGTTTCCTGGTTCTTCCCACCCTGTGCTTCAGCCCACCCTAGGGGAGACTCCCAAGGCCACAGTGGGCTCGCCTTGGTCCGCTTTTGGTGGAAACCCAGATTCAGAGAAATATTTCTCCACCATAATAAAAACTGCAAGTGTGATGACAAGTGGTAGCTGACACTTGGCCTCAGTGTCAGGGAGGCACCACGAGAATGATGAGGACTCTGGCTGACAGAAAGCAGAATTTTCCAGGCCAGGCCTGCCTGTGCTGAGCCGTGTCAGCTGGGACAGAACGCAGTGCTGGCAGCAAAGGTAGGTGGTGGTCCTGAGTGGGCACCTCGCTCCCATGAAGGGAACAGGACATGTTTCATTTGTATTTCAACCTTCTCAACTCCTAGAAAAAGCTCTTAGGGTAGAGGGGAGCAATCGAGGCAAGAAATATTTTCCTTAGAGGCTAGAAAGCTGGCGGGGGGCTGGAGGGTCACGCACAAACTTGAGGGCCCTGTAACCCCCGCTTATTATTCCACAGGGCACTAGGGGAATGAAGCTGGCCTGAAGCGGGGCCCCACTGCCTCTTGGAGGCAACCCCCTACCCCAGGCAAGGGACAACACAGCCCTCTGGCTCTAGCTAGAGCAGATGGGAGACATGAAGGGCAGTGGGGGTCAGGGGCCAGTACAGTCATCTCAAGGCCCTGAGTGACAGGAAGTGCCCCATAAATGGGGGTCCTCTTTGTGAGTATCTGTGGACCTGCAGGAGAGCAGGCAGGCGTCAGCCACACTCCCCCTGCCTGGGGAGACCGCCTGGCAGACCTGGGGGTCTTAGCATCAGTCGGGACCAGTCCGTTGCTGGGGACAGAAGGAACTTCTGCACATACAGGCAGCTGCCAGCTGATAGCCTGATGTAAATGAGGAAGAAAATAAGTCTTTGCTTAGAAAAAAAAAGGCCACAAAAATGTAGTTGGTTCATTTTGTAGCAAAGATGAGCCATATACTCCTATCCCGGTGGGAGGGCAGCTAGCTCACACTCTCCAGAGGACACTGTGGTGACAGCTCTCCAAAGCCTGAAAACGGCCCAGCAGTTCCACTCATGGGGCAAAAGGAAAGTGCATGAAAATTGCACTCCAAGAATGGCCATCCTGGCAATATCTGAATGAGGAAAAATGGAAAACAACTTCTTTGTCCATGAATGGGGGATTGGTGAGATAAATAACGATAGAATATTTACCAACAATTCAAGATTCTAAGGATGTGGAAAAACGTTTAGAATGTTATCAGGCCAGCATTTTACCACCTTTAGAGAGAGAGAAGCATTTCACCCTCTCCTTAAATGCTGTTCAAGATTTCAAAATGACTAAAAATGAAAGTAGAAATTTTAGTACATCCTTTTATAAAAATACACATACTGGTACTCCAGCACACACCCATTCATCCCTAATATGGAAGACCTGGTGGTTGGGCCCTGTTGTCTTTGCTAAGAGAACCCATGTGGTTCGTGTAATGAGTGACTGTATGCTTCAAGGGGAAACAGAGCCGGTTCTCAGTTCAGGCTATTCCTGGTCCTTCCCTCTACTTGTCTGAGATTGGCTGAGGTATGGGTCTATGACCTTATTTGGCAGGAGAATAAAGCGATTAAAAACACACACACACACACACACACAAAACGGAGTCTCACTCTGTTGCCCAGGCTGGAGTGCAGTGGCACGATCTCAGCTCATGGCCACTGCAATCTTTGCCTCGTGGGTTCAAGCGATTCTCCTGTCTCAGCCTTCCGAGTAGCTGGGACTATCGGCCCCCGCCACCACGCCCGGCTAATTTTGTATTTTTAGTAGAGATGGGGTTTCACCATGTTGGCGAGGCTGGTCTTGAACTCCTGACCTCAAGGGATCCACCTACCTCGGCCTCCCAAAGTGCTGGGATTATAGACTTGAGCTACCGCATCCGGCCGATTATAGGTAACTTTTAAAATCTTGCTGTTTGCATATATTTTCTATTTCTCTCATAAAGAATATTAATTCAATAATAAGGAACACACATGTTCTTTGACCAGAACTAGAGGAGCAGCGCATTGGATGGAGTGACGTGAAGGCCCCTAGGGAAACAGGTGAGGGTCCAAACTGATGCAGTCACCACGGGGAGGGTGGCAGCCCTTCCACCCACGATTCCTCTCCTGGCCCTGGGGCAAAGATTGGCAAATTACTGCCTGTGGCCCAAATCCAGCCTGCCTCCTGTGTCTGTACTACCTAAGAGCTAAAAATGGTGTTAACATTTTTTAAAGGTTGGGGGAAGAAACAGAAGAATAAGGCCAGGTGTGGTGGCTCACACCTGTAATCCCAACACTTTGGGACGCCAAGGCGGGAAGACTGCTTGAGCAGGAATTTGAGACCAGCCTGGGCAACATAGGGAGACCCTGTCTCTATATGTAATTGAAAAAAACTAGCCGGCATGTTGGTGTACACCTGTGGTCCCAATTACTCAGAAGGCTGAGGCAAGAGGACCACCTGAACCCAGGAGGTCAAAGCTAAAGTGAACTATGATCGTGCTACTGCACTGTAGCCTGGGTGATAGAATGAGACCGTGTCTCAAGGAAAAAAAAAAAAATCATAGATTCACAAGAAGTTGCAAAAAAAAAGTACAGAAAGGTCCCATGTACCCTTCACCCCATTACCCCCAGTGGTAACATCTTGCACAACTACAGAATAGTTTCACAACCAAGAAACTGGCATTGCCACAGTCCACAGATCTTGTTCTTCAAAGATCTTCAAAAAAAAAAAACTGTAAAACTTCACTAGTTTTACAGGCACTCGCATGTGTATGTTTAGTTCTATGCGATTTTATATTGTGTAGATTCGCATAACCACCATCACAGGGAAGTTTCTTTTTATAGAAGTATTCCAGCTGCCAAAGAAGAAATCATTGAATTGGAATATCTCTATTTTGTAACTTCCAGTGAAATAATGGATCTAAGTGGGAAGTAACAGCCTTAATAGCTAATTCCCCAAAGGGAGAGAACTCGACATCATATGCCTCCGGATGAGAGAATATGCATCAAGTATTCTCACCACAGAGATCAAACCCAAATCCAAGCAAACCCCAAGAGCCAACTACCATGCAATGCATGCACACATTCAACACCCTTTCGTCATAAAAACACTCAACAAGCTAGGAATAGAGGGAAACTACCTCAACATAATACAGGCCATCTAGGATGACAGCTGACATCATACTCAATGGTGAATGACTGGAAGCTTATCCTCTAAGATCAGGGACAAGGCAAGGACGCCTGCATTCACCACTTCAATTCGATGTAGTACTGGAAGTTCTAGCCAGAGCAATTAAGCAAGAAAAAGAAATAAAATATACCCCAGTTGGTAAGGAAGAAGTTAAATTTATCTCACAGATGACATGATCTTATATGTAGACAACCCTAAAGATTCCACAAGAAAAAAAAACTGTTCAAACTAATAAATTCAGCAAAGTTGCAGGATACAAAGTCAACACACAAAAGTCAGCTGCATTTCTATAAACAATGAACAATCAGAAAAGGAAATTAAGAAAAAAATCCCATTTATAATAGCATCAAAAAGAATTAAATAGGAATAAATTTAACCAAGCAGCAAGAAAGACTTGTACATTGAACACTATAAAACATTGCTGAAAGAAATTTTAAAAGATACAAATGGGGCCAGGCATGGAGTCTCATGCCTGTAATCCCAGCACTTTGGGAGGTCAACACAGGGGGATCACTTGAGGCCAGGAATTCAAGACCGGCCTGGGCAACACAGTGAAACCCTGTTTCTACCAAAAAAAAATTAAGAATTAGCCATGCATGGCACATGCCTGTGGTGCCAGTTACTTAGGAGGTTGAGGTGGGAGGATCTCTTGAGCCAAGAGTTCAAGGCTGCAATGAGCCATGATTGCACCACTGCACTCCAGCCTGGGTGATAGAGCGAGACCCTGTCTCAAAAAAAAAAAAAAAAAAAAAAAAAAAAAATCTATACTGCTGAAAGTGGATCTACAGATTCAATGCAATCCCTATAAATGGCATTTTTTACAGAAATAGAAAAATAAAACCATCCTAAAACTCATATGGGATCTCAAGGGACCCTGAATAGCCAAAACAATCTTAAAAAAGAACAAAGTTGGAACCTTACACTTCATGATTTCAAAACATATTACAGAGCTACAGTAATCAAACTAGTGTGGTACTGGCATGAAAACAGGTATACACTCATAAACCAATGGAATAGAGAGCCCAAAAATAAACCCTCACATATATGGTCAAATGATGTTCTACAAAAGTACCAAAACCACTCAATGGGGAAAGGGCTATCTCTTCACCAGATAGTGTTGGGAAAACTGGACATTCATAAGGAAAAGAATGAAGTTAGACCCCTACCCTATTCTGTATACAAAAATTACCTCAAAATAGATTAA